GGAAGGCGGACGCATTTGAACAGTTGCATCAGCTGAAAGAAAAGTAGAGAATTTTTCTTTGACAGAAGGGGGTCCATAGCCTCATGTTATAAAAAGTAAAATAGAGAATTTTTCTTGGGAAAAGAGTGGGGCACACACACACATGCATAGGCACACAATCACACACCCACACGTACACACGTGCGTCCGCACACAAAAAAAACACCATTAAGCTCTCTTTCTCGGTCCAACTCTTAAACCCCTACCTCGCACACCAAGCCCCCCTTTCTTCTCTCCCCCCTTCATCTTCTCGCTCTATAAAAAGGGTGTTTGTAGCTTCATGTTATAAAAAACCGAAAATAGCGAATTTTTCTTGGGAAAAGAGTGTTGATATTATCACAAACTATGATATTGACTCAACAGATGTGGACACTTATAGCCATCCATAGCTTGCAAATGTAAAAAACTAGGATTTTTGCAATTGTGAGCGTCAATCACTGCCATATAATCATAGCAATTGCATATGCAGTATATTGAATGCTGATTATTCTTTAAGAAAGCCATCAACATCCACTGAAAATGGGGGGAGAGTCAAAATAAACTATCAACTCATCAAGCCTCAAAAAAAGCTACAACTATTTCAAGAGTTCACCTCCTTGAATGACTATTAAAGGGGGAACACTTTTCTCCTCAATCAATAAAACAACCTTCTACTGAAGAACAAGCAAACAACACAAGGACTAGAGTACTTGCCTAAGTACGGGTACAAGCATAATCACACACAAGGTACTCTACAATCAAGGCCCAGGAACCTATGAAATCCTAGAAGCTTTTTTCAGGTTAGTCACACACACACACACTAATATTCATGCCAGGGATGACCTAAGCAAGCTATTAGCCATGTGCTTCTGCACGTGAGATATATATCAACCTTATATTTATACATTCACACCAGGATGACCTAAGCAAGCTATGGCCATGTTCTTGCATATGTGAGGACTCAGGATTACGATGACTATACGTACACCTCGAAAGAATCAGGTGAGATGCCAAGGTCTTGATGCACCAAGAGACATCACTTAAGTCTACTCAAGACCTCAGCCACCAAAGTCAGATCAGTCATTTGTTGGCTTCTTCACATGCAGGGCAAAGGGTGTCGCCAAGTGGGGCTCAACATGGTGGCCAGCAAACACCAAGGAGAGAGTAATTATACTTTCTAACTATGCCCTGTTGATATTAAGGGAATTCCATTAACCCTATCAATATCCAAAAGTGACCACATTCCTCAATATGAACTACATTCTAGCATGGTAATTAGAATGAGTGAACGGCAGTTTATGTTGCATAGCTTACTCATGTCTAAAATCATTGAAATCCTAGCTCTAGTGGCCCTTCACTGCATGTGGGATTCATGAAAGAATTCAGAACCAGAGAAATGCCTCCCAACCCACCCAAAACAAAGATTTTAACAAAGCAAAATGAGAACCACTTAAGAGAATTTTATCGAGAGCACTTGATTTTGGTATGCAGCAACGCAGCTAAAAGTTGATAATAAAGTCTTCAGTTTGAAATTTTGAAGGGAATATCTGAAAACACAGGTGTGCTTCAATGGTTGCAAGTAATGGTACTAGAAGAGATTTCACGCAAATTTATGAATTGCTTTCAATTTCAGGGGAAAGAGAGGGCATAACGTTGATTCTAAATTCTCAAAACTAACAGCGTAACAATAAACTCAAACATTTGGATTCATTTTATGCAATAAATAAACCATGAATATAAATGCTTGTACTATACATTGCGAAAGCACGCAGGGACGAAAACAATTAGTTCATAAGACAAACACATGTTTAGTTTCTATCTTTTCATACATAAAAAATGCTTAAAGTTTTTGCCTTCATGTTCACCATTGACGAACCAATCATTTAATAAAATGAGTATAAACTTCATCAATTCATGTCTTACAGAGAAGTTCTTTCTTCTTTCCAAGAATGGTATTATGGAAAATAAAATAAACAATCAACTCTCATCATATTACAATTGACACTTCAGTAAATAAGAAAGTGCGTAATCTGAATCCCTCTTTGGAGAGTTTAATAGTTATACCAAAGAAATAACCCTCCTTAACTTTATGGACAAGACAAACCTGAAAATCTGTCATCATAAACGGTCATAAATTCATAATCATATCAAGAATCCTCTGTTTTTTGGAATAGAGGAAAACTGAGGAAAAGCAAGTTTTTTTTCTTGTAGTAATAGGGAAGTTTCAATGGGGACAAGCAGGGTTCCAAAAAAATTAAGATATGGCGTGCAAAGCTGGCAAATCTATCGTTCTTTCATGGGTGTAGGAAAAAATTGGTGCTATTGTTAAAATTTAATGCACCAAAACAAGGCCATACCATATGACATGATGATTCCCCAAGCAACCAAATGTTATGTGATATGCCCCTAATGTTTTATTAAAGGATGCCAGCATTACTATTCTCACATTGGCAGACAACAAAGGGCTATGTGCAGTACGATATCAGAAAGAACATGCAAGCATGATTTAAAGTGAACCAAATGAAACCCAATGCCACCAAGTGATGAAAGGTCCATTAAAACCATTCAACATGTTCCTCAAACATGTGACATACTTAGTTGTACTCTTGGATGAAGAAAGGAATCCTTCAAAACCTTTTAACACGTTCCCACATTGTGTTGAATCTTGTAAGTAGGATGTCTCTAACTCATAGACCTACAGAACCATGATAAACAAATAATGAATCAGCTTATGTAAGATAGAAAAAAACAAAACCAAAGCATGGGGGTAACAAAATCAAACAACTATCAAAATAAAATATTGTGGTAATACTGACACTGTGACACGCTTAGAATTGTTTCATGCTTAGAATTGTTTCAGGATCACATGTTAACAGAAGGTTAAAAACATTAATGAAGAGATTGTAAAACATACTTCGGCAAAGCAAGTATGTTCTTGAGAGTAGAGAGTAAAGACCAAGCGAATCTAACATATGTAAACAAAAGCAATGACCAAGACTCCAACTCTCACAGATAGAGATCATGTTCTGATGGATGATTGATAATATTGGAAAATAACACGGCCAAAAGAGGGATAATGGCACAGGTTTCATTTCTGGAATTTTCTCCTGCCATGGGTGTCACAATTAAATCTTGTAGGTTTATGGGATCTTCCAGCCTTGAGCTTGTAACTAAATATTGTGATTAGCTTCATCTTGAAATGAATATCTTACTTATCTGAAGGCAGAGAAACAATAACCAATGCCAATGTGAACAGAGGATGGCCTGATATCAAAGCTGAAACAGAAACTAGATGGCAAAAACCTCATAAAATAATGCACTAACTTGGTTTTGGCATGTCCAGTACCTCCAAAACAGTGACATAAACACACAACGGGGTCATTGATATGCCATTTTGCTTTATTCTGAACTTGTAAAAAAGATGCAGAAAACTACGAGAAGGAAATACATAAGAATCCACCTTGTTAGAGCAGACTTAAAACTGTTGCTCTTGTAAGGAGAGGATCTTTTCCCATCTGAACAAGTTTAGTAAGCCACAGAGAGCCAAATTGATACAAATATTCAAATTCAAAGTTGTTTCATTCAAAAATAAACTGTTGGTGTTTGATTTTGTTTCAAAGTCACCTTTAAATTAGAGCTCAAGGGCTGCTACCCTAATACTATCCACGTCCCTCTCTCATTCTTTGGCGTGCAACAATTGACTATGGACAGCAACAAGCACAAGGTGTGGGCAAGGGGCACAGGGGAGATGGTTTGTACGTCAAGGGATGAAATTTCACTTTCTATTTATCTTTCAATTTATAAAATCAAGAGACACTAATCTACTGACAAACCCCACTCTGTTCCTCTCTCTTGAACTGGCCAACAATCAGAAGCGGCAATCAAGAGCTGCAGAGCAAGAGTAATAAGGTGAATATCAAAGGAATAGACGCTTTGTCAGACCAGGAAGAATTTTTACTTCCTAAATGCTTCTCTTTTCTAATATTACAAATTTCACAACGTGGTTGGACCAGTGTAGAGTCCATCTTTCGCCATTGCTAAGACCAACAAGGGAATTTGGCTGGTTACGAAGTAACTTACAAAAGTTGGCCAAATTCCACATGATTAGAAGTTTTTTCTGTGCATATTTAACATTTAACCACATTAATTCAGTTTCTCTTAGACAATTACTCTATTTCACCAATTTTATTTTATATTGACAACATATATTCCCAAAATGTACTCAAATATGCCTTATTTAGTTTTGAAGTATTCATGTTGTCAAACTTTAATTCGTTTGAGTTCAAACTTGAAATGGCATTCCGACATCCAGAAGACCACTGAAATGTACAGTACTTTTAAAAGTTAAAATAAGGTTAATGTGATAACCAATGGACCTCCATCAGAAGATGAGGGACTAGAAATGGGCAATGCATATGCATTACAATCATGATATCTATCAAAAAACGAACACAAAAATAATACAACAAGCCCAATTAGATGCATATAATTATGAACAAGAACCAAGATAAGATCACAACTTAGCAGTGAGAGTAGTTTGTTAAGAGATGAGCATAGCTAAATCGAAGGGATATGTTTAGGGAAGTAGATCGGTACATGAAAACGTCTATCTTGAAGTCCCATATAGTTAGGAAAGTAGAATTAGATAAGTTGGATAATTTATTAGATAAAATTTGATTCAATTAGGTTCATCTCATCTAGGTAGGTGTTTTTATAGGATTATAATAGAATAGTCTTTGAGCACTACAAATAGGAGAAGAGAGGGTTGAAGTGAAATCCAGTAAAAGTTATAGGAGGTTGTGATGGGAAGCTTTGGGGTAAGTTAGAGAGAGAAAAGATAAGAGAGAGGCCACCGAGCCTAAGAGAAAGGCAATTGCAGAGTGAGGAAGTTGTAGAGAGAATGAGTGTAAGCAGCCCGGCAAGGCACGGATTCTATTGAAATAAAAAATATATATATTTTGCCCCAAATTTCTCTGTGTGTATGCATGATAGATAGGCCCATAAACAGTATAAGCTTTTAAGGTTTTTCAAACATCGTATCAGAGCCTGGTTATTGAGATCGGAAATTCAATCGATTCGAGGTGAGTTCTTGCTTCCTAACCTAATAAAAAAAAATTGTTTTCAGTTGTTTACTTCTTTAAAGGAGTGGAAAATTCTACCATCTCATAATCAAGTTCCATAGTTCCCAAAGTTCTCACAGATAAGGACTGTGGCAATTGGGAAATATGGTTTCAAAGCAATTGGTATCTTGGGATGTGGTCGATGGGACTGAACCTAGACTAGCTGCTCATTTATACCCATGGCATGGAAAAAGCAGAACGGAAAGGCTCTAGATGCAATCTAAATTTGGTGTGGTCCAGATATGTTCTCTAATGTGACGAATATAGAAGGGCAAAAGTACACTGGATCAATTGGCCACTGTGCACAAACAGGTGAGTAGTGCGAGAAAGGCATTTCTGGAAGCAAAGCTACAAGCATGTAAGTAAGGCAATAGCTTCATCATGAAGTTTAATCCATGAGTTCAAGATCTTTGTGATCAATTAGAGGGAATCGACATTAAGATGGAGAATGACACCGGAGTTGCTATCATCTTGGAAAAATTAAGAACCAAATTTGATGCCATGAGGGTGTCGACTCAAAAATCCAAGCCATCCATAGAAGAGGCTATAAGCCTATTGCTTCAAGACGAACCACTTCCTGAAAGAAGAAAAATGAAGTCAAATGGTCGTTCGAAGAAAATGGAGGACAGGAATGAGGCCTTGTTTACGAACTCTTGGTAGAGGTCAATAAAGGAAGATAGCATGGTTTGGGAAAGCCCCAAATTAATAAAGAATCTCAACCACAACCTCACAACAACGAGCAAGGTGAGTCTCATAAATCCAATAGAGCAAAGACAGGATCCTGCTGTATTGGTGGGAAAGTCGGACATTATGCCAAGGATAGTTGGCATAAACAAGGAAATTTTGTTGCCAAGGGAAACTAGAAGTAGGGAAAAGAAGCTTGTAAGGAGAAAATTGAAGAGGCACAATACATCAATGATGCACATGAGAGCACCAACGGCTCGTGGGTTTAGCATGTTCAAACCATATGACAACAAGAAGATCTCTTCAACACCAAAGAACCCTGTCTCACATGTTAGGAGTGACTACTCTTGAAGTGGAAGGCAGAGGAAATATTACACTGTAAATGCTCAATGGAACTATCAAGCATCTTTCTAATGTCCAACATGTTCCACAACTTCAAAAAAATCTTGTGTGGGACAATTGGTATATTAATGCTTTCATGTTATTTTTTATGAAAGAGGTTGTGAAATCTTGTCAAAGGAAGATGGGAGATCGTCGCCAGTGATAACAAAGTTGTCCTTTATTTGCTAAAAGCATATCTATTACAAAGAGTTCCTATATTAATATTGCAGCCTTATGGCATAAGCAAATGGGGCATTGCAATCTCCCTAAGCTAAAAGATATGGAAGGAAAGAGGCTCTTATTATGATACATGCGATCAATATGATGGGAATCACATTTGCAAAGCATGTGCATTTGCAAAGGCCGCAATAAATCCATTTGCCAATCATCCACCACCATAAAATACCTATTGCAGATTATCCATAGTGATGTGCAGGGTCCACTCTCACATGTGCATGAGGTATTGTCATTTTCATTGATGACTATTCCGGTACACATGGATTTATTTTCTGTGAAGCAAATCTAAAGTATTCAGGTACTTCAAAGAATCCAAAGCACTTGTGGCGAAAGAATATTCAAGAATCAAGTACTTAGTACAAACAATAATGGAAACCATGTGTCAAAAAATTCAATGATTTCTTGAAAAAAAACAAGATTAAGAGGCAGCTGATATGTGTAGGGAGTTGGGACACAAAACGAGATTGCAAAGAGGAAGAATCAATCAGAAGCCGCTCATGCAAAGATGAATGCCAAGAACGTGCATTAGGTATATTAGGCTGAGGTAATGTGCTTTATAGTATCTTAATTAGTGGCATACGCACTGAGCGAGAGAAAGAAGGTGTCATATCATTTCTCTATAAGAAGAAACCCACTATTACACATAATTGCGTTCTTGGCATGTGTAAAGTGTGGTGATAAGGATCATGATAAACTTGATGACAACTGTGCAACTTCCAAGGGCATTCATTGTAAAGAAAAGCGTATTGATGCATAGATCCAGTAACCCGCTGCACCTATGAAAGCAAAGATGTGAAGTTTGATGAGCAGGCACAATGACATCAAATTGTACAAAAAGTCGAAGGAGAAAAATCTTTGACACCAATGAAGATCCAAAAACCCCCTTGGAGCTGACTACTCCCATACCTTCAAAAGAGAATGAAATATTGCCTTAAGTTCCCAGACTCAAGAACATACCAAGCGGTAGCTAGAATGACAGAAGTAGGGGTGAGAATTGGGGTGGGTTGAGCCATGGACGTGACCCAACCGGGTCCAGATCTGGCCTAGACAATGGACCTGACAAGCATGTCTCGGTTCACTTGACCTTGACCCAATTGGGTCCGGCTCCAGGTCAAGGTCTGGATCCAGCTTGGATCCTATCAAGTTGGGACGGGTACAGGTCAAGGCCAACTGGACCCAGCCCCACTCGACCCAAGTATATTAATATAAATTAGATATAAATGATATTTATTATGTAGTATAAAATACATAAAATAATTTTTTTTATATTTTTTGTCGATAGACTCAAACCCAACCCGACCTAGTGGGTTAGATTCGGATTCAATTGACATTGACCAGAACTGGGTCAAGATCAGGTCCGAGTCTAACTTAGACCTAGTCGGGTCGATTTCGGGTCAGGGTTGACCCGAACCCGACCGTTCCCACTCCAAGATAGAGGTACGCAGTCAAAAGGCTTGATGATTAATTGATCATTAATGCCTATAATATGCATTATGCATACAAGATGCATGTCCTAGATGAGCATGAGTCGAAGAGCTTAACCAGCAATCAAGTGGCAACAAGACATTGAGAAAGAAAAGAGTGCATTTTAAAAGAACCAAACATGGGATTTAGTTCATTTTTCAGAAAGTAAGAAAGCGATTGGTTGCAAATGGATTTACAAAATAAATTATAAATACCACAGTCAAATTGAGTTTTATAAGGCGCAGTTGGTCACTAAAGGGTGTTTTCCCAAACTTTTGAGGAAGACTATGGAGCACATTTAGCCCAGTTGCAAAGATTACAAGTGTTGGAGTGATCATTGTTTGGCTATAGAAAAAGGTTAGAAGCTCCATCAAATGGACATGAATATTCCTGCTTAAATGGAGAGATTAACAAAGACGATTATATGCATCAGCAAGAGGGATATGAAGATCTGGTGAAGTCTCGATATGTGTGCAAGTTAGAGAAGGCTCTATATGGCTTGAAACAAGCACCTAGAGCATGATTTGGCGAGGTAAGAAAGTTCTCTCACTCAAATACTCACTAGGATTTCTTTTCTCTACAGCAGATTTTTGCATGTTCATCAAGCATTTAGCTAAATGAACAGTTATTTGAGTGGTTTATATTGATCTAATCATTATAGGCAACAACCGAGTGAAGTTCAAAGAATTAATGATATTCACTCCCAAGATTCGAAATGAAAGAACAGGGAGAACTTGAACATTTTATTGGGACTGGAGTTTTAAGGGATGAACGAGGCATATTGATCATGTAAAAGAAGTTTGTATTTGATCTACTTATAAAGTTCAGAATAATGGATTCAAAGCCGATTGTAAACCACTTGATGTGGACCACAAATCATCAAAGAAAGATGAGGATCTAATAGAAGAGGCCAAAACATGTAGAGAGATGGTAGACATCCTAATATCTCAACCATAACCTGGCCAGACTTACCACATCCAATTGGGTTGTGAGACAATTTATGCAAGATCAAAGGAAACCACACATGGATGCAGTGAAGAGAATATTGAGGTATTTGAAGATAATAATCAATGAGGTATTCTACGAGCATGGATTTCCTATCAACCTAGCAGGTCACTATAATGCCAATTAGGCAGGAGTCCCAACCATCCATCACTCGATTTCTAGATACAATTTCAGTTTGGTTTCTGAGAAGTATATCGTGCGCAAGAAAGAAGCAACATACAGTACATTGCCATCCACAAAAGCAACATCATTTCAACCATGTTGGCATTGACAGAAATGGGACTACTCCAAATGAAGATCCGAAACTGATACGTTGGTCTCAATGAACTACGGCGTCCCACCTTTCTTTGCCCAAAATATCCTATGCACTAAGATGCCCCATTTCCACTAATATGTGGATCTCTCATAAATCTTGGGCAAGCAGCAAGCAACAAGCAACATAAAGTAGCATGTTGTTTGTGGACTACAGTGTCCCAATTCACAACAACAACATCATTTCAATCATGTTGGCATCAAATCCAGTATTTCATGCGTGTATGATGCACACTGAGATGCATTCACTTTGTTCGTGAGAAGGTGTTGAACAAGGAGGTTGACTTGGTATATATACCAACCAACAAACAAGTGGCCAATGTCGTCAACTAAGCATTATATCAAGAGAAGACAATGAAATACAAGTGAGCCTTAGGAATGAAAAATGCTGGAATGGCTTAGCAATGAAAGGGGTATTAAGAGATAAGCATGACTAAGTTGTAGGGATATGTTTAGGGAAGTTGATCGGTCCATGAAAAAATCTATCTTGAAGTCCAATTATCCATATAGTTAAGAAAGTAGATTTAGATAAGTTAGATAATGTCATTATAGAATTAGGTTTAATAAACAGGAGAAGAGAAGGTTGACATGAGATTAAGAGATCTTAGAAGAGGCTGTCACATAAGGCTTTGGGGTGAGCTAGAAGAGAAAAGAGGAGAGTTCACCAAGTCTAGGAGAAAGAAAATCACAGAGGAAGAATGTTGTTGTGTGAGCAGCCCAAAGAGGCACGGATTCTCTCGATGTACAAGTTCTCTTTTTGCTCCAGTTTTCTTCATGCGAGTGTGTGATAGATCAAGCCCATCAACAGTCTAAGCTTCCGCATATTTTCAACACAGTTCAGGCTACTCACGGCACTCTTGTCTACTCATTATAATCTTCTAAACTATTATAAATGGAATTTCCAATTTTCCACAACAAAATCTTCCTAATAGATGTATCCCGTATCAGCATTGTAATAATCACTCCAACCAACAGCTTAGAACCTTGTTACATGCTATTACACAACTGTTAATTATTTAAGAAACTAAAAAGAATAAGACTAAAATCATACCATGGATCATAATATATCAAGTGACAGTTATTCGAATGCAAGATCCAAACCCAAGCAAATATTCAAAACTGATAAAATGAAACACCAGGAGTTATCTTCCAAGTTCTAAACTGCTCCAGATACTGATAAATATTTCTACAGTTTTCCAAGAAGAATGATCTTAAGAGAATTCATAGCAGATAATACATGAATTAACTACATTATCAAATGCTAAAATGTGTTCTACCAAACCAAGAAACCAGAATAACTTCCAAACTACAGAATCGAACGAGCAAATCAAACAAACCCAAGTTTCTAATAAACAGTAACAAACAAACCCAAGTTTCTAATAAACAGTAACAAACAAACAAAATTAAACAGACTAGAAGATTCATGCCTGCTTTTCAATACTTCGGAGTTCTTCTTGTAGCTTCTCGCGCTTGCTCAACAGAGATGCAAGTATTGCTGTGGGGTTTGAAGCTGGTCTTTGCCCTAAAGACAAGAATATACAAGTAAACCAGTGTTTGATAAACTGATTTTTTTTCTGGAAAAAAAAAAGTAAAATTGCAGGTTGGGTTACTCATTTTTGCCCGAGAAAAAATCAACGTGAAGATAAAAGAGAGAAGAAGAGAAGAAGAAAAGGTTAAAAATGGACATTTAGGTTAGAACGGTTACCTTCCGAATCCATTTCCAGATAAAATTCGGAACGCTTTGACCACTCAAAGTGACAAAAAAACACTTGCGCTAATAAAAATTAGGGCACCGAAAGAGAGAATTCTCTAAAATTTTTAAAACTTCAAAAAAAAAGCGGCTCCTCCATGGTTTCATAATGAGTTAGGAACTCGTGTGACGGGGATATAACGGTGATACAAAATATCGGTAATAATTCGCTTTTGGTTAAAAAATGTAGCTAAAAAGGGCCAAAAGTGGAGCTCTAAAAAATTGTTAAAACAATCTGTAGAACAATCATCGGAGATTTACGCGAAGGGTTTATATGCGACCAAACCCGCATGTATAGAAATCCGGGCTTATTAATAAATTTATTTTTGGGATGGATTTTAAGACTTAATTTTTAAAAATATATAATATTTAAAAATAAAGAAATAAATTTTAAAAATTAAAATTAATAATTCTAAAAAACCATTTGGACAGTTAGTTTCTATTGTTTTTAGATAGAACACCTACTTACATCCATCTTGAGGAATGGACCACATATGTAGAAATGCGGTCCAGTCCGCATGAAACAACTTTCTTCACATAAAAATTATGTTTTATTTTACTTTTAGTGATTCAGAAAGGACACAGTTTTTATGCATCCAGCCCGCATATTGTAGAAATGCGAGCTTGGCAATAAATATATTTTTAAATACAATTTGATCTTAATTTTAGAGAATATATAATCTTTAACATGGAGATCATGAATATGAAAAAAAAAAAATAGAAAGCTAAAAATAATAATTACATTAAGAAAACATGTGGATCGTTAGTTACTCTTGTTTTTAGATGGATCACCTATTCACATCCATCTTTAAGATGGATACTTTATACCTCTAGACCACATATTGTAGAAATGTAGTCCAACTAGCATGAAACAGTTTTCCATTCAAAAATATAATATTTCATATTTTATAATAAAGTTCTACTTTTTTAAAGTATAAAGTGTATTTAATTTTTGTCTTTTTATGTATATATCATATTAAACTCAAATTTAATACGTTCATATTTCTCATTATCAGACAGAGCTATAAAAAATAGTAAAAGAATCATTTTAAATAAATTAAATTACTAGAATACCTGTAAAATATTGTGAGTTATTTTGCTCATTTATTTTTAAAAATTATTTTTTATAGGTGTTTAATGTTGAGAAGTATGAAAATATCAAATTTGAGATTATCAATAGAGTTTATGCTCTAAAAAAGAGGGACTTCAATGTAAAATATGGAATATTTTGGATTAAAAAAATAAAAGAAGATTTTTGCTCAAATTTTCTAATAAATTCATTTTGCCAACGTTATGTTGAGCCTACAGGAGTATACTGCCCATTTTCTCCCTCAGGTAAATTAAAAGTTAGAAATTTTTTTGGCACAAATCTTGAGTGTAGCAATTTTCAAATTGCATATTCTTATTTTTGTTTCTATTTGGAAATAATCATCTAATGATTCTTTGTTGGAAATTATTTCATGCAGGTTGGACCGCATGATTAATGTGTGGTCCAAAAAGTGTAAAGCATCCATCTTAAATATGGATGCAAGTAGGTGTTCCATCTAAAAACAATTAAAACTAACGGTCCAAATATTTTCTTACAAGAATTATTATTTCTAATTTTAAAAATTTACTTATATTTTCATATTCATGATTTCCATGTTAGAGATTACATGTCCATAAAAATTAAGTCCAAAAGTCTATCTCAAAAATAGATTTATGAATAGGCCTCCATATTTACATATAGGGGCTTAGCCACATAGAAACCAGGTCCTTCTTTGTTAGATCCCAAAGATTCAAATAAGTAAAGGAAAAGTTTGCAATCTTATGCTATAAAAGTAAGGGATTGTATACAATGAGACCAATTATCTTTATTATAAGGAGGTCACAATTCCTACTCATCGGATGTCAAACTGAATTGCTTGTATTAGTTACGAAGTCCGAAAAATGTTTTTTGAACTTTGAGTCTTTTCAATGACATTTTTACAACCACTTAATTAGAAATCCAAGGGACAAGAGTGATTTGTCACCTCCTTGTACAAAAGGCAAATGTCTCTTTGTATACCTTTCCTAAAAGTAAAGTGCACCTCAACCGAAGTTGAAAAACCTTACCATTGACCTCGAGCTATATGGATATAAAAAAAAAAAAGGATTTTAAAGTCTTGGTGACAATTTTTTAGACCGTCTATTTTTAAGTGTTAATAGATTTACTCGATCTACACTATTTTAAAAATTTTAAATTTCATTAGTGGGGGTGAACATGGATTTTCCGGCCATCATAAGGGTTCTGACACCCAATCTACTTCTTCCGGCTAAAATTAAGAGGTGCAGCTTAGTATAAGGTGGGCACCTTATACCAACCTCACCTAGAAGAAAAATCTTCCAAAGTATTTATTTTGCTCGAAAGAGTTAATATACAGTATGATTCACAAAGAGCATGCAATATGGGCCCGTTAATTTTGCCTGAATAGAATGTTAAGTGTTTCACATATTTGCAAATTCAGCGGTGGCGGCCAAATAAAACTCAAGGCAAAATACAAATACTGCAAAAAATATTATTCCCAACATCTTCTTAATTTAAATTGCAACCAACTTTTCAACCCTATATTTGAAATGGGATATGTTTGATTCAATCCTAAACTTAGGGCATGTTTCGATGTACTCGTTACCCAGATAAAATTATCTTTGAGATAAACTTAAAGATAATTTTACATATAAGTTTAGCGCACATATAAGTTTAGGGCTTGTTTGGATGACAATTAATTTTATCTGAAATATATTATTATTTTTGGAATTAATATACTCTTAATACCATTATTTTGGTAGTTGTTTGGTACTTGTATTGTATTATGTAATATATTACTTAAAAATTTAGCTTTTCTACTATTTCGAGCTATTTTTAGCTATTTCTGTCCAATAACATGTAATGTACAACAAATTATTTTGAATAAAGTAAAAACAACATTTAAAACAGATAAACTTTTGGGCAAAACTACCTATAAGTTTATCTCAGATAACCTTATGATGGACAGAGTGAAACGATAGATAACTCGTCATGAAAATTAACTTTAATTGAAACAAGGAATTATCGATAACTCGTCATGAAAATTAACTTTAATTGAAATAAGGAATTATCTGCAATAACGAGTACATTGAAACCAGCCCTTGTTTTTTGATTTTTTGTTCTACTTTATTTAAAGTAGTTTTCTTAAAATCACATATTTTTAGTCAGTATAGCTAACAATAGCTAAATCACTGAAAAGGTTAAATAATTAAATAATATTATACATAATAGAATAAATGTATCAAACAACTAACACAATAATACTATACATATTACATTAATTTTAGATAAGATCATCTATTTTCAGATAAAATTAATTGTCATCCAAACTTGCCCAATTGGTGTTCTCCCAAAAAAAAAAAAAGACATCCTAAGGTTTCGTTTGTGCGTTTTGACAAGTCCATTTATCTGGTTTTTAGGGCAAGCTTTCTATACTTCTACTCCATAAAACTTATATACTTCCCCTATCCAACAGTCTATTCTGAATAGACACCTGAGATGACCCCAATCACAATATCACATCTCTACACTATTTTATTTTTAATTTTTTCTACAAAATATTTTGACCCCAAATTTTGGGCATCCATTTCTCTCTTAAAAGAGCACTTGTAAAAAATATAAAATCAATATTTGCAATAAAATAAAATGGCTAAAGTACCTATGGATATTTCAATAGGTATCTTCTTCGTTATATTTTATCGAAAAAATCTTTTTAATATTTTTTTAGGTGCGCCCCATTGAGAAGATGGCACGTACAAAATTTTATATTCATACAATTTGTCAAAAAAACTAAAAAAAAAATATTCTGAGACATCAGATCTAGGTCAAACAATCAGTGGCTCACTTGATCTAAATTAGACGGCTGAATCAGAGAAGTGTATATCAATCATCGTCGTAATCATCAACATCATCCTATTCCCAACTATTTAAAGCAATGGCAAAATATTCATCTAAATCAGCGTGAGGAATATTTTGCTGAGAAATATTGGCAGCAGAGGAGATTCACGCTTTCTATGATTTAACTGAAATAATCGAATCGTGGCATTTACTTGAAGAAAAAACTTTATATAAGGTTGCAACCTTCTACTATAGAAATAATGTGTACCTCGAAAATCCAATAGATAAGAGTGTTTCGAAATTGGAAAACCTCCCAATATATCATCTTCACCTCGAGATATATAGATATAAAGAAAAAAAAAATTCAAATCCTAAAAATAGTACATCTTATGACAGGTCATCTGGGCCATCTATTTTCAAGATTTTCATATACTAATAGAACTGCTTAATCTTCTTCATTTTTTGAATTTTCAATATCATAATTAAAATTGAACACGGATTTTTAATCTATTGTGAGATTTTTGACATCGAAATTACATATTTTTGGCAGATTTAGAGATGCGCCTTTCTTTTAAAAAGTATAAGGTGCGCACCTTATACAAACCTGACCAACTATGGACTAAGCATAAATGGACATAGAATCCTCGAGCGTTTAGGGAAATTTTCCGAATTTCATGGGCAAAGAGAGACGGCATGAAGGTTTCTATAATTCCAAGGCTTCAACCTCAAAATAGGTATATGCATACTTTCATGCCCTTCAATTTATGCTTAGTAGTTGACATATCGGTTTGATTGAGAGGCGTCAACGGTTCAAATCCTTAAAGTTTGTCCAATGCAACCAAACAAGCTAACTACCTTTTTTTTTATTTTTTTTTCACCCAAAAATATCATGTGCACTATGATGCCCCAACTCCCCTAATTTGTTGGTCTCTCATTAATTTTGATGTAATTATTATTATTATTATTTTATTAGGAGATAAAAAATGGGGCTTAAAGTTATCTTGGGTTTCTAGTTTTCTTTAGAGGTATTTATGTTTTTTCTATTATAAAAAATTGCGAGGCAGAATTGAAAATTTAAATTTTAAAAGATAAAGGGCAATAATTTAGTATTGATTAGGGTTTTATAGGGAACAAGTTTAAGTTTTAAGTTTTATTTTCATAACTATACATTTGAACAAGAAAAGGAGAAGAGAATAAGAATATACTTTATGGGTCCTGTGGAAGTTCTTTTAGGGTGAATTATCTTGTAGATCCTTGAGATAGGATATAGATTTTTCTGGTTTATTATTTATTTTTATTTTATTTTTTCTCCCTCCTATTTTCATCAATTAGTATATATTTCCAAACAAAAAGAAGG